CTCCCTCTTGGATTGTAAACTCCCAGGATCAGGCCCCTCCCTCTTGGATTGTAAACTCCCAGGATCAGGCCCCTCCCTCTTAGATTGTAAACTCCCAGGATCAGCCCCTCCCTCTTAGATTGTAAACTCCCAGGATCAGGCCCCTCCCTCTTAGATTGTAAACTCCCAGGATCAGGCCCCTCCCTCTTAGATTGTAAACTCCCAGGATCAGGCCCTCCCTCTTGGATTGCAAACTCCCAGGATCAGCCCCTCCCTCTTGGATTGTAAACTCCCAGGATCAGGCCCCTCCCTCTTGGATTGTAAACTCCCAGGATCAGCCCCTCCCTCTTGGAATGTAAGCTCCCAGGATCAGCCCCTCCCTCTTGGATTGTAAACTCCCAGGATCAAGCCCTCCCTCTTGGATTGTAAACTCCCAGGATCAGGCCCCTCCCCTTTGGATTGTAAACTCCCAGGATCAGGCCCTCCCTCTTGGATTGTAAACTCCCAGGATCAGGCCCCTCCCTCTTGGATTGTAAACTCCCCAGGATCAGCCCCTCCCTTCTTGGATTGTAAGCTTCCAGGATCAGCCCCTCCCTCTTGGATTGTAAACTCCCAGGATCAGGTCCCCCTCCTCTTGGATTGTAAACTCTCCCAGGATCAGCCCCTCCCTCTTAGATTGTAAACTCCCAGGATCAGCCCCTCCCTCTTGGATTGTAAACTCCCAGGATCAGGCCCCTCCCTCTTGGATTTTTAAACTACCAGGATCATGCCCCCTCCCTCTTGGATTGTAAACTCCCAGGATCAGCCCCTCCCTCTTGGATTGTAAGCTTCCAGGATCAGCCCCTGTATCCCTCTTGGGATTGTAAACTCCCAGGATCAGCCACTCCCTCTTGGATTGTAAGCTTCCAGGATCAGCCCCTTCCTCTTAGATTGTAAACTCCCAGGATCAGGCCCCTCCCTCTTGGATTGTAAACTCCCAGGATCAGGTGCCCCTCCCTCTTAGATTGTAAACTCCCAGGATCAGCCCCTCCCTCTTGGATTGTAAACTCCCAGGATCAGGGCCCCTCCCTCTTGGATTGTAAACTCCCAGGATCAGCCCCTCCCTCTTAGGACTGTAAACTCCCAGGATCAGCCCCTCCCCTCTTAGACTGTAAACTCCCCAGGATCAGCCCTCCCTCTTGGACTGTAAACTCCCAGGATCAGCCCCTCCCTCTTGGATTGTAAACTCCCAGGATCAGCCCCTCCCTCTTGGATTGTAAACTCCCCAGGATCAGCCCCTCCCTCTTAGACTGTAAACTCCCAGGATCAGCCCCTCCCTCTTAGACTGTAAAACTCCCAGGATCAGCCCCTCCCTCTTAGACTGTAAACTCCCAGATCAGCGTGCCCCATCCTCTTAGACTGTAAACTCCCAGGATCAGCCCCTCCCTCTTTGGTATTGTAAACGTCCCAGGATCAGCCCAATCCTTTTCCCCTTCTTGTATTTGTTCTGTATTGTCTCCTGTTATATTGTACAGCGCTGCCCACCACTGTTGGCGCCATAAAATCCTCTATAATTAATAATAATAATAACTTGTGCCGGGTTGTTGGCGACTCTCCAGCAGAACGGGCGACTCCAGCCAGAACGGGGGCGACTCCAGCCAGACAACGGGCCGACTCCAGCTGAAACGGAACGGGCGACTCCAACCAGAACGGGCAACTCAGCCACAACAGTAACGGGCGAATCCAGCCGAAACGGAAACGGCGATACTCCAGCAGAACGGGCGACTCCAGCTGAAACGGAACGGGCGACTCCAGCCAGAACGGCGACTCCAGCAGTGAAACGGAACGGGCGGACTCCAACCAGAACGGAAGATTCCTGACATGAAACTCTGCCATGGAGCTGCGCTCGTTCAGATGACTGGAAAAATTAGAAAACCTCCAATTTGCGCAGAGCTCTCCACAGTTATTAAAGAGTCTCTTTTTTTTTTTGTAATTTTATTTTTCAAGTTTCACCCTTGTTATGTAATTTTACGGGTTTGCGCTCTGATGTTGTAAGGAAACCATTTTGAAGTTCGTCCTGTGACCATTGTACAAATAAAGCAAAGGACAAAGATGAGGAGAACGCACCCGGTACGCCACTGAGAGCGCCTTCTGTGTCACCATAGTGACCCCCCCCGCAATCAATGAGGATTTGTGTCCCGGGCGTAGGACGGCTCTGGGCGCCTTGTTTTGTCACCAGTGACCCCCCCCCCCCCCCCCGGAATCAATGAGGATTTGTGTCCCGGGCAGTCAGGAGGGGGCGGGACGGCCTTTCTGGGCACCTTGTGTGTCACCGGTGACCTCCCCCCTGAATCAATGGGATTTGTGGTCCCGGGCAGTAGGACGGGCTCTGGGCGTGCAGAATCTCATATCAAAATAAATAGAAATAAAACAAATCCCTCGACTTCGGCTTTTCCTGCATTTCATTCTGGAACCATCTTGGTGTCACTGACATCCCCATGTGACACCAATACAGTGATTGGTGCTAATAAAAGCCCCTGACACTGTACTAATGGCACTGGCAGGAAGGGGTTAATAATGTGAGGGGCCCGATCATAGGTTTACTTGTGTGTGCTGTTTCATTATAAGCTGCTGTCTGTGTGCTTCACTGTAATCACCACAGCCATGCATAGCAGTGCACGAGCTGACAGGGAGGTAGGACTGTTTTGTTTACAAACAGTTCTCCTCCCCGTCATGAGATCCTCGGCAATCCACCAGACGCTGGCGAGTAATCACCGGCCTAGACCCAGTGATTGACAAGCTGCAGCCGCGAATGGCAGTGCATTGTAGGACACGCCCGCCCGCGACCGCCCCCTTACCCGAAATGCAAATCACGTATATATATGCAATTTTGCGCAATCCCCGTTTGCCGCCTTGTAGCAGTATTTCTACTATAGCGCACGAACGGGAAGGGGTTAATCTAAAACAACCAAATATAAATATCAATATAAAGCATCGAGGAACCACCTAAAATCGCTTATCCCCAAAACAGCCGCTGATTTCTGGGTCCCTGTTCCCAGTGCCCACCGCTCTCCACGCACAGCACTTACACTCCCTACCAGAGATATTGTGTGTGTGTATGTATATATATATATACAGGTCATGGCCGAAATTTTGTTGGCACCCTTGATATTTTTTCCTGAAAATCCAAGTATTTCACCACAAAAAAGGTATTGCATTAACACATGTTTTGCTATACACATGTTTATTCCCTTTGTATGTAGATTGTGAACAAATATAAAACAGAGCAGAAAAGCAAATATGACATAATGTCACACAAAACCCCAAAAATGGGCTGGACAAAAGTATTGGCACCTCTTAACTTAATATTTGGTTGCACACCCTTTGAAAACATAACTGAAATCAGTCCGCTTCCTATAACCATCAATAAGCTTCTGACACCTCTCACCCGGAATTTTGGACCACTCTTCCTTTGCAAACAGCTCCAGGTCTCTCTTATTGGAAGGACACCTTTTCCCCAACAGCAATTTTAAGATCTCTCCACAGGTGTTCAATGGGATTTAGATCTGGGCTCATTGCTGGCCACTTCAGAACTCTCCAGCGCTTCTTTGCCATCCATTTCTGAGTGCTTTTTGACGTATGTTTGGGGTCATTTGTCCTGCTGGAAGACCCAGGATCTTAGGACGCTAAACCTCAGCTTTCTGACACTGGGCCCTACAGTGCGACTCCAAAATCCTTTGGTAATCCTCAGATTTCATGATGCCTTGCACACAGTCAAGGGGGGCACCCAGTGCCAGAGGGCAGCAAAACAACCCCAAAACAATCATTGAACCTCCACCATATTTTACCGTAGGTACTGTGTTTTGTTTCTTGTAGGCCTCATTCCGTTTTCGGTAAAACAGTAGAATGATGTGCTTTAAACAAAACCGAAAAGCTCTTCATCTTGGTCTCCATCTGTCCACAAGACGTTTTCCCAGAAGGCTTTTGGCTTACTCAAGTACATTTTGGCAAACTGTAGTCTTGCTTTTTTATGTCTCTGTGTCAGCAGTGGGGTCCTCCTGGGTCTCCTGCCATAGCGTTTCATTTCATTTAAATGTCGACGGATAGTTCGCGCTGACACTGATGCTCCTCCCTGAGCCTGCAGGACAGCTTTGAATGTCTTTGGAACATGTTTGGCGGGGCTGCTTATCCACCATCCCGACTATTCTGCGTTGCAATCTTTCATCAATTTTCCTCATAACCGTCCACGACCAGGGAGATTTAGCTACAGTGCCATGGGTTGCAAAACTTCTTGATAATGTTGCGCACTGTGGACAAAGGCAAATCTAGTTCTCTGGAGGAGATGGACTTGTAACCTTGAGATTGTTGATATTTTTGCCACAATTTTGGTTCTCAGGTCCTCAGACAGTTCTCGACTTCTCCTCTTTCTGTTTGTCCATGCTTAGTGTGTGCACAGACAGACACACAATGCAAAGGTTAAGTGAACGTCTCTCCTTTTTTATCTGCTTTCAGGTGTGATTTCTATATTGCCCACACCTGTTACTTGCCCCCCAGGTGACGTTTACCAGGAGCATTCACATGCTTGTAACATTCTTATTATAAGCAGTTGCAGTTGTGAAAGGGTGCCAATACTTTTGTCCAGCCCATTTTTGGAGGTTTGTGTGACATTATGTCGAATTGCTTTCTTTCCTCCCTTTTTTTTTGTTTTGTCCCAATACACACAAAGGGAATAAACATGTGTATAGCAAAACATGTGTATAATGCAATACGTTTTCGTGAGAAATACATGATTTCCTGGAGAAAAATATCAAAGGGTGCCAACAATTTCGGCCATGACTGTATATAGATATATACACACTATATTGCCAAAACGTATTGGTCCACCCCTCCCAATCATGTGATTCAGGTGTTCCAAATCCCCTCCCAATCATGTTGATTCAGGTGTTCCAATCCTCTCCCAATCATGTGATTCATCAGGTGTTCCAATCCCCTCCCAATCATTGTTGATTCAGGTGTTCCAATCCCCTCCCATCATGTTGATTCAGGTGTTCCAATCCCCTCCCAATCATGTAATTCAGGTGTTTCCTAACCCCTCATATCATGTGATTCAGGTGTTTCCAATCCCCTCCAAATCATGTGATTCAGGTGTTCCAATCCCCTCCCAATCATGTGATTCAGGTGTTCCAATCCCCCCCCAATCCATGTGATTCAGGTTGTTCCAATCCCCTCCATATCATGTGATTCAGGTGTTCAAACCCCTCCAAATCATGTTGATTCAGGTGTTCCAATCCCCTCCATATCAATGTGATTCAGGTGTCCAATCCCCTCCAATCATGTGATTCAGGTGTTCCAATCCCCTCCCAATCATGTGATTCAGTTGTTCCAATCCCCTCCATATCATGTGATTCAGGTGTCCCAATCCCCTCCATATCATGTGATTCAGGTGTCTCAATCATGGGCCCCTCCAGATCATGTGATTCAGGTGCCCCATATCCCCTTCAAATCATGTGATTTCAGGGTGTTCCAATCCAATCTCCCAATCATGTGAATTAAGATGCATTCAGTGTTCCAATCCCCTCCCAATCATGTGACTCAGGTGTGCCCCCTCAAATCCCCTCCAATCATGTGATTCAGGTGTTCCAATCCCAATCCATGTGACAGGTGTATACAATCCTCAAGCCCCTAGACATGCAGACGGCTTACTACAAACATTGGTGAAAGAATGGGTCGCTCTCAGGAGCTCCAGTGACTCCAAGCGTGGTGCTGGTCCGTGATAGGTTGGTCCACCTGGGCAATAAGTCCATCCGTGACATTTCCTGGCTCACTAAATATTCCACACTCAACTGTTAGTGGGATTATAACAAAGTGGAAGCCACTGGGAACAACAGCCACTCAGCCACCAAGTGGTAGGCCACGTCACATGCAAGCGGATTTACCTTGGGGTCAGCGCAATGCTGAAGCGCACAGTGCGCAGAAGTCTCAACAACTGTCTGCAGAGTCAATAGCTAAAGACCTCCAAACTTTGGTGTGGCCCTTCAGATGAGCCCAACAACAGTGCGTAGAGAGCTTCATGGAATGGGTTTTCCATGGAACCGAGCAGCTGCATCCAAGCCTTCCAAGTGCAATGCAAAAGCGTCGGATGCCATGGTGTCAGTCGCCATTTTCTTATGGTCTAATACATTACAATAGGGTTTCCCTGATGCTGATACCAAGTACTGGCACATGTGCTAGTAAATGTGCAACTGCTCCCGATACCCAAAACCGATTACCATGGGCTCAAACCGCACTGCAAATAACTGAATGCAATTTGAAGAAGAATGTGGTGCAAATTCCTGTCCGATTCGCATACAGTTTCCGCAAAGCTCTCGTTGTGAACCCGGGCTTGTCATAGTGACTTTGAGCCTGAGTTCACACAGGAGTGGTGCAGGAAACCTCCCTGCATGACGGGTTCCACACCCACCAGTGAAGCTCCAGTTTGTGATCCAAATGTGGACATCAGCATCTGTGGCTTGTGCTCCTCCTGCTCTCACACGACTGTTAATTCCCACATCTCCAACGGCTCTCTCCCCCCAGCCTCCATGTACAGTGGGGGGGAGTGAAGGTGGGGGCTGAAGGGTGTTTCCAGTTTGATGGCTCAAAACTGTATGAGCTGCTGGGGGGGGAGAGAGCCCTTGGGGGGGGGAGAGAGCCGCTGGAGGCTGTTGGTGAGAGAGCCACTGGAGGCTTGGGGAGAGAGAGCCGCTAGGGGGAGAGAGCTGCAGAAGGCTGGGGGGAAGAAAGTTGCTGAAGGCTGGGGGGGGGGGGAGCCACTGGAGGCTGGGGGGGGAGAGAGAGCCGCTGGGGGGAGAGAGCTGCTGCTGAGGCTGGGGGGAGAAAGCTGCTGAAAGCTGGGGGGAGGGGGGGTTAGAGAGAGCCACTGGGGGTAGAAACCTGCTGAAGGCTGGGGGGAGAGAGCAGCTGAAAGGCTGGGGGGGGGGAGAGAGCTGCTTAAGGGGGGGGAGAGAGCCACTGGAGACTGAGGGGGGAGAGAGCTGCTGAAAGCTGTGGAGAGAGAGCCGCTGGAGACTGAGGGGGAGAGAGCTGCTGAAAGCTGGGGGGAGAGAGCTTCTGGAGACTGGAGAGGGAGCCGCTGAAGGCTGGGGGGAAAGAGCCTCTGGTGGGAGAGAGCCACTGGAGGCTGGGGGGAGAGAGCCGCTGAAGGCTGGGGGGGGGAGAGAGTCACTGAAGGCTGGGGGGAGAGAGTACAAAGCCATGGGAGAGGCAGGAGGAGTCTAAGCCGCAGCCGCTGATGTCCACAATTGGATTGGGAGCTGGAGCTTCTCTGGTGAAGCCCATCATTCAGGGAGGTTTTCCGCCCCGCTCCTATGTGAACACGGGATCAAAGTCACTATGGCAAGTCCAGGTGCACACATGAGCTGCGTGGAAAACCGCATGTGGTTCAGACTGGAATCGCATCGCATTCCTTTTCAAATCGCATGCAGTTCTTTGCAGTGTGATTTGAGGCCATTCATTTTGTATGGGCTGAAACCGAAAGTATCGGTACTCGTACTCACCAGGAAAACCGGTATGGGTACATCCCCATGTTACACTATATACGGGCGCCATTTTTTATAGACCTTCTGTGTGTTCACCACCATTCTATTACCGCCCTTCCTCTGTAATATCCAGTGATACGATGCGCTCTCTGTGTACTAATTCTATCCCGCCGTATACAGACAGATCCCATGTTCCGTGTTTTATTGTATCATTTTATTGTTCCGTATGCTGCAGAGACGTTTCTAGGACATTATTATTTATATATTTTGGCGATATTCAGGATTGTAAGATTGATGAAGTATTGGGGGCAGCGCTTTATTTGGTATATAAGGTCACCAATACACACACAGTATACGGGAGTGGGGGAGGTGCAAGCTGCTTTCATCAGAATTTTTGGAGTTTTGATAAATAGACATTTGTGTGTCATAGCAACTGACAAGGAAATCATTCCAATCTGGCAGCAAAGGGGTTAAGTAGACAACATTTTGGTCACATATATAGAGACAACGAGACCGTCCAAATATGACTGTAATATCTGCAAAGTCCATAGTGCCGTTCCGGGATTTTATTTCTCAGAGAATAGGTGCAGGAACTCCCCTTTTTTGAGTCACCTCTACCCACCTCTGAGCACTGCCCCTTGTCTCCTCCCCCTGCCCACCTCTGAATACTGTCCCTTGGTGCCACCCCCTACCCACCTCTGAGCACCGTCCCTTGGTTCCACCCCCTACCCAACCCTGAGCACTGCCCCTTGGTTCCACCCCCTACCCACTTCTGAGCACTGTCCCTTGGTTTTATCCCCTACCCAACCCTGAGCACTGCCCCTTGGTTCCACCCCCTAGCCACCTCTGAGCACTGTCTTTGGTTCCACCCCCTAGCCACCTCTGAGCACTGCCCCTTGTCTCCTCCCCCTGCCCACCTCTGAATACTGTCCCTTGATTCCACCCCCTAACCACCTCTGAGCTCTGTCCCTTGTCTCCTCCCCCTGTCCACCTCTGAATACTGTCCCTTGGTTCCACCCCCTACCCACCTCTGAGCACCGTCCTTTGGTTCCACCTTCTACCCACCTCTAAGCACTGCCTCTTGGTTCCACCCCTACCCACCTCTGAGCACCGTCCTTTGGTTCCACCCCCCTACCCACCTCTGAGCACTGCCCCTTGGTTCCATCCCCTACCCACCTCTGAGCACTGCCCCTTGGTTCCATCCCCTACCCACCTCGGAGCTCTGCCCTTTGGTTCCATCCCCTACCCACCTCTGAGCACCGTTCCTTGTCTCCTCCCCCTACCCACCTCTGAGCACCGTCCCTTGTCTCCTCCCCCTACCCACCTCTAAGCACCGTCCCTTGTCTCCTCGCTGTACCCACCTCTGAGCACCGTCCCTTGCCTCCTCCCTCTACCCACCTCTGAGCACCGTCCCTTGTCTCCTCCCCCTACCCACCTCTAAGCACCGTCCCTTGTCTCCTCACTGTACCCACCTCTGAGCACCGTCCCTTGCCTCCTCCCCTCTACCCACCTCTGAGCACCGTCCCTTTTCTCCTCCCCCTACCCACCTCTGAGCACTGTCCCTTGTCTCCTCCCTCTACCCACCTCTGAGCACTGTCCCTTGGTTCCATCCTCTACCCACCTCTGAGCACTGCCACTTGTCTCCTCCCCCTACCCACCTCTGAGCACCGTCCCTTGTCTCCTCCCCCTACCCACCTCTAAGCACCATCCCTTGTCTCCTCCCCGTACCCACCTCTGAGCACCGTCCCTTACCACCTCCCCCTACCCACCTCTAAGCACTGTCCCTTGGTTCCATCGTCTACACACCTCTGAGCACTGTCCCTTGTCTCCTCCCCCTCCCCACCTCTGAGCATCATCCCTTGTCTCCTCCCCCTTCCGACCTCTAAACACCATCCCTTGTCTCCTGCCCCTACCCACCTCTAAGCACTGTCCCTTGGTTCCACCGTCTACCCACCTCTGAGCGCTGTCCCTTGTCTCCTCCCTCTACCCACCTCTGAGCACTGTCCCTTGGTTCCACCCTACCCACCTCTGAACACCGTCTCTTGGTTCCACCCCCTACCCACCTCTGAGCACCATCCCTTGGTTCCACCCCCTACCCACCTCTGAATACTGTTCCTTGGCTCCACCCCCTACCCACCTCTGAGCACCATCCTTTGTCTCCTCCTGCTGCCCACCTCTCAGCCGTCCCTCCAATAGACTCTCCCAACAACAACAGACCCCCTGCAACAAAATATCACCCTCAACTCATGGGACCCCCGGGCAATAGGCGATCATGGGGCCCCTATGTCCTTGCCCACACTCAAACCACACCCAAAAAAGCTTATGAAAGGTACCAGGGACACTTCATGGGGCCCCCTACTGACCACGGGCCCTCGGGCAGTGCCCGATTTCCCAATGGTCAGTCCGCCCCAGGGCAGGCGTATTCCTCTGCGACAACCTTCTGTTTTTTACGGAAGAAAACGCATTTTCAGCAGCAGAAAAACGAGGAATGATAAGAAACACATCAATGTTTTGGCAAGCGCTGTGCGAATTTAAAAAAAACAAAAAAAAACAAAATCCAGTCTTGCATTTAATGTCTTCAGTTTCGGTCTCTCCAATTACCCCGCCCTGAGCCGCGCCAATGTTCCTCCCTGAAAAAAAAAAACAAAAAACCGCTTAAGCGGCCTGTGGGTTGGCGGAGTGCGGCTCGTAGCCGTGACCCAGCGGGATCAATCTGCCTTTGTTTGGACAGTGAAATCCGCCTTGTACACAGCCCCAATCCCTTGGACGGCGCCGGAGCGTTGGGCAGGCATGCGATCTCGCCTTCCAGGTCCCGAGGTTTGTTGGACTTTTTCACGCCCCGCTTTTGGCACGCGGCTCCGGGGGCTTCAATTCCTCCGCCGGCAACAGATTTATTTTTTTTTCCTCTCCTTTGATTGGAAATATTAAGACCGAAAT